TGAAAGATGATTACTCTTTCGCCCATACAGATGCGCCAAAAATATTTTTGAATGTTTAAAGGCACTTAAAATCAAGGATAAAAACGCAGACTATTTATGTAGTTACTTTCTACAGCACATACGTGTTATTAGTGGTCAGAAATTAGCTCCTTAAGAAGCCGACATCGTATCGTGACCGAAATAACTTCAGAATAGACTACACGATATTCAGTATCAAAACGTGAGTCAATGCCGATTAGCGAAAGAGTATTAATTTTTCGCATATGTCGGCATGTTGCGCGAATTTTTGCGCGTACTCTATATGTTACATATTACACGAATTCAAGGCCGTACTGTACGGTTTTAAATCCATGCAATTTATCCCACTCTTAACTGGTCATTATAATTTTATATTTGTTAAAAGTATATTTTAGCTTACCTAGGCCAGTATTGGCACACCCAGTATTGCGTCCTGTCCCAGCGTCCCACCAGGTCATCACATCTGTTGATGGCACAACCTATTTTTGATGTATTGCCCCAAATCATCTTGAATTTAACGCCAAAAAAGAGAAAACCATTAAGCACACATTTAAGGTATCATCTACAATAAACAATGGCATTAATAATAGCAATGACGGAACTCGTAGCAAAGGGGGTTTTGCCATTTTAAAAGTGGAAATGTCAGCGCTGACCTGCGTGTAGTGCGTACAGTAATCAAGGGTACAGGAATCATCCTCAATATTGTAGCCGATCTTCTCTTGCCACCACATCACCAGCGTCATATACAGGGCTTCGAGGGGATCTCGCAAGGTCACATAGGCTAGGTTCTGTCCGTAGTCCTTATAATCGGACCAATTATCATCCGGATGCTCGTAAACACACCGTTGCGCCCACTTCCACGCCAGTCTCTCTAATTCTGCATCGTAAACCTACAGAAAAAATCAAATAGAAAAAAAATGACACGTAGGGGAGATATGTCTCTGTTTTTCGTGATTTCACATTAAAGATGGCCTATTTTTTTCAACTAACCAGCATCTGCATATCGGCTGCCCTTGGCTCCACGGACTTCCTCGCATTTTCGTGATACTCCATGATGATATTGATGTAGGCGTCGGAAAGCAAAAATCCTGTTGTGACGTAAGGTAGCAGCAGCAGTAACAGGGAAAGTGCGTTATTCCTCCTAACTTTCGATTGCATTTTCTGCAGATAAAAAAGAAAATCAGCCCGCATAGGCATGGATTATACGTAGTCTATCAACATAACCTGCCTATCTCTCTCTCTCTCAAATATTGTCCTTCGAAGTTTTGAGAGAGAAGTACCAACTAACTTCAGGCGACCGATCAGCTAGACGGTGCCTGTTGCTGTCAGTAGGGGAGGTTCAACCTCAGCGCATTTCCTTCCTCAAAAATAATCAATCTGATGCGTTGATAACTACAGTCCTGGAAGTCCTGAAAACAACTTTCATGACGAAATTTAACTTGGCAGTTTAGTATATAGTTCGACAGGTTATTTTTATCAACTGGGTGGATTTAATAATAAGTAGGGCTTTGGTTTGGAAAACTGTCCTCTTAGTTAAAGTTATCTAGGGCAATAGGCACTCATTTTGGCTTAATCATGAGCAAGTTTATATTAAAAAAATTTCCTATGCTATAAGGTATGACAGAAATAAACGTTTTACTAATATATATTGTGCTGTGGAAGATTTCCGTAATTAGTAAAAAAGGTGGAATAATAATCCCTTCCAGAACTGGAAAATTTTG